TTTGAGATAGGATTTCCCTATGTAGCCATGGCTGTCCTGGAACTTGCTATGTAGACCAGGGATAATAGATATGACACACTTAAACATGTCACTAACTGTTTAAACTCAGTGTTCTACTTTCAGTTCTAAAAATAACTTAAATGTTTGAAGAAAAAATGGATTTGTTAAATCAGATAATCTCAACTAATTTGCACTAGTAATTTTCTTGTTCCTTCCTTCTTTCCCTCCTTCCTTCCTTTCTGTTTTTGTTTGTTTGGTTTGGTTTTTTTTGTTGTTTGTTTGTTTGTTTTTGTTGGTTTTCTCTGTGCAGTCCCTGCTGTCCTGGAACTCTCTAGACCAGGCTGGCCTCCAACTCACAGAGATTTCCCTGCCTCTGACTCCTAAGAGCTGGGATTAAAGACCAGCACCACCACTGCCAAGCTTATGTTTGTTTGTTTATTTTGAGACAGGATTCTCTCTACATAACCTTAGCTATCCTGGAAAAACTGTAGCTCTTTTTTTTTTGTTTTTGTTTTTGTTTTTGTTTTTCGAGACAGGCCTGGAACTCACTCTGTAGACCAGGCTGGCCTCAAACTCAGAAATCCGCCTGCCTCTGCCTCCCAAGTGCTGGGATTAAAGGCATGCGCCACCACTGCCCGGCAAAACTGTAGCTTTTAACCAATGAGCCATCTCTCCAGGTCCAAAACAATTTTAGGCTGGCCTAAAACCTCACAGAGATCCCCATGCTTCTCCCTCCCAAGTGCTGGAAACTAAAGGCATGTGCTACCTTTGCCTAGCTCTCCTCCCCCACCCCCTCTCTGATATTGGGAGGGTGGTCTTTATAATACGTCCCTGGCTAGCCTGAAATTCACTATGTAGATCAGGCTGGCTAGTTCAGAAATCTACCTGCTTCTGCCTGAGTGAAGGGATCAAAGGTGTGTGTCAACACACTCCACTATCCTAGTTTCTTCCTTCCTTTCTTCCTTTCTTCCTTTCTTTCTTCTTTTCTTTTCTTTTCTTTTGTTTTTTTGAGACAGGGTTTCTTTGTGTAGCCCTGGCTGTCCTGGAACTCACTCTGTAGACCAGGCTGGTCTCGAACTCAGAAATCTGCCTGCCTCAAGGCATGCGCCACCACTGACCAGCTTACTATCCTAGTTTCTTGTTGTTCACTTTAAAACATTTGTTTTGAGGCTGGAGAGATGGCTCAGTGGTTAAGAGCACTGACTGCTCTTCCAGAGGTCCTGAGTTCAATTTCCAGCACCCACATGGTAGCTTACAACCATTTATAATGGGGTCTGATGCCCTCTTCCTGTGTGTCTGAAGACAGCTACAGAGTACTTATATAAATAAAAACAAACAAATAAATAAAAGAACACTTTTCATTCCCATAGAGGATCTCAGTTCAGTTCCTAGAACCTACACAGACATAACTCCAGTGCCTTGGGATCTGATGCTCTCTTCTGACCTCTGAGGGCAGCAAGATTACATACATACAGGTGGGCAAAGTACAGGTCAAATAAAATGAGTAAACCCAATAGTTTTTTAAAAATTATTTTGGACCTGGAGAGATGGCTCAGTGGTTAAGAGCGCTTGTTGCTTTTACAGAGGACCCAGGCCTTATTCCTAGCTCCTACCAGGTAGCTTACAACTGCCTTATGTAACTCCAGCTCCAAAGGATCTGAAGTCCTTTTCTGATTTCTGAAGGCACGAGGAATTCATGTGGTATATGTACATACAGGTAGGTAAAATATTCAGCATAGAAAATAAAATAAATAATACAAAAAGCACTTGCTGCTCTTGTGGAGAACCGGGGTTCAGTTCTCAACACCCACACAGTGGCTCAAACCTGACTGTAGCTTCAGGGGATGCAATGCCCTCTTCTGGGTTCCTTGGACATGAGACATGCCTATGGTGTACATTCATGTTTGCAGGCAAAACACTCACATATACATAAACATATACATATATACATGTATATACACACTAAGCTGTTTTGAGCACCAAATACTGTGAATACTGTATTGCTATCCAACTATTGTATATACATAGTCAATTTGTTTTATACTTAAATACAGTGCCAATTTGCACCTAGAAACATGAGCAGTGGTTTATTTACTGTGACCTATAATTATAAATTAAGCAATCATAAAATTATATACTCGACTCAATTGATAAACTGAAGAAAGTTAACTCTCACGTTTCTCATTTATAACTAGTTATTTTCTCTTGGTTTGGCATGTGGTTCTTTCTTTTAAGGGGATGGCTGTTGGGGCAGGGTCTCCCTCTAGCTGAGGTTGACCTGGAAAAACTAACTGTAGCCCAGGCTGTCCTCTTAACTCATAGTGATCCTCTAAATTTAGCATCGAGAGGGCTGGGATTACTGGCATGAGCCACCGCACACAGCCTGGCAAGGCCTTTTAATTGCCATTCTAATTATTTTCATTAATTTAAAAATTATCTACTTATTATGAGACAGAGTCTTATGTAGCCCAGGCTGGTCTTCAACTTCTGCTCCTTTTTCTACCTCCCAAGTGCTGAGGTTACAGGGGTTACAGGGCCCCTTTCTCAAATCCGTTTATTTTCTGTGTAAATATTTATATCTGTACTCATTTGTTACAATAAACTTAGCCTTTAAATGGGCAGCTCGTGTATAAATAATAAAAAGAAAACACTTATTAAAATCTGTTTAGCCTGAGGTTAGACATAACTGTAACTGTAAGGAGTGTGAAGTGTGATTGACAACCTCAGATTAAATAATTCTACTTAATTTGACATTGTAAATTTTTTTTGGTCAAAATTCACTTGCTCAATAATATGACTAAAGAAGATGTGTAATTTTCCCCCTGCCCAACTATTTTCATCTTTTGTTGAGAATGTGTCTCATATATCCCAGGCTGGCCCGGAAATCAATATGTAGCCCTTGGACTTCTTCTGATCCTCCTGCCTCCACCTCTTGAGCTGGGATTGCAGGCAGGCACTAACATCTTTGGTTTTATGCAGGACTTCATGCTTGCTAAGCAAATCTCTACCCACTGAACTATACCCCCTAGTCCTAGGCTTTTCTTCTTAAGTCAACAGAAGTAGCTCAATATTTTCACAAAAATAATGAGGGGTAGGAGGGAAGCAACTGTAACCGGTTCAGAGCAGTTAGTAAGCCAACTAACCTGTTCTAAATGCCTTAAAATCAAGTTTTCTTTGACTACCTCTAAAAATATTCATTTCCCTGTAATTTCATTTTGACTCTCGATCTATCGTATACAAAATCAACAAGGAAAGCAGATAGATGTTCAGCAATGCTCAGTGTTCATTTCCCAGCATCCACGTGATGGTTCCCAGACATCTGTAACTACAGTTCCAGGCAACCAAAGCCCTCTTCTTGCCTCTGCAGGCACCAGACACACGCGTGGTGCACAAACATACAGGCAGGCTAAACACCCATACACATAAACAAAATAATAATTTTAAAAAATCAACAAGGAACTGAGTGTCTCCGGTCAAATCTGTCACACACCGTATACTTTGTTACACTTTGGAAAAGCCTTAATTATGGCTAACGGAGAAAGGGCTTGCATTAAATTGATGCTCACTCTCTATTTCTCATTCTTTTTAGTTTGAGGCGAAGACCTTTGGTCCTCATGTGGCCACAGGCAAAAGGACACTGCAAGTTTGAAGGAAATGCTAGGACCCGGGAGGTTAACTTGTTTCTATCAACATGGAATAAATATGGAACAAAAAAAATCCCTCATCAACAACCATTCGCCGAACTTTCGTCGAAGAAGTTGGGACTGCAGGAGCGCACTCACCACAGAGGCATTCATTCCCAGCGGTACCTCTTATTGTCCTGGGACTTACTCCCTCCCTATACACCTCTCACTCAGAGACGCGAGCATCTAGGAAAGCTAGGTTACAGCTCCCTGGTGCTGTCAGGGTGATCTCAAAGAGAGTGGCGCTCAGACTCTTCCACTTTTGGCTGGGTCTCAGATGGACCCCACAGTCCCGAGGCACCGAGAGGTCGACTGTGCAGTAAGATCTGTGAGCCGGGCCTGATCTCCGCAGCTCCAGAGCCGCCTTCAAACCAGTCCCTAGAAAGATGATGGTGCCCAGGCTTCTTCCCCTCCAGCCAAGCACTCCTCAAGTCCCCCCTCCAAGCTTCGGATCCATCGTAAACCCCTCCTTTCTCCCCAGGCCTAGGCCTCCCTTTAGGCCCACTTTAGGGGCTCCTCCTTCGCCCCTGAAACCGATCTAGAACCCCAAAGATCAAGGCGAGCTCCATCCTACGTCCTCCTCGGCTCTAAGTGCAGCGCCCCGCCCTAGGCCTGGGGATAGGAGGGGGGGTGACTGGTCAGCTCTGGAGGGGCCAGGGCCCCCACACTCACCATCCTCAAGCCGAATCCCTCCTCCTCCTCCTCCTCCGCCTCCTCCTCCTCCTGCCTCCCCCGTTACCAGGGGTAACTGCTGCGGCGCCGCCCCTGACGTCCCTCGCACGCACAGCGGAGGAGCTGAGCCGCGGGACGGGGCGGGGTTCTGCTCCTCTTTACCCAAAGTGCGCAAGCGCGCCAAAGCGTCCGCCGATTGCGCAGGCGGTCTCGGGAGTGGCGGGAGGGCGGGGCGGGCTGGTGAGCGACCCAGCGGGAGATGCAAAATCGCCCACGTGGCTGGCCGGAGCCTGTGGCCTGTGATTGGTCGGAAGGGGGGGCGTAGGGCGAGGGGGTGGTTCCAGGGCCTAGCCGCGACACTTCGGTTCTGCTTTCCTAGTCAGCCTCGACTGGTGGCAGTCGTGGGGTGCATCCCTCTGGGCCCAGGTAAGAGCCCTCAAGTGCAGGCCAACGCATAGCTATTCCTAATCCCCGCGCCTCCGAAGGGAGCCTGGCTCTGCTCTGACGGGACTGTCAGGCGCTGCGTGCCGGGCTTGCATCTGCAGAAACCGCGTGGCCAGAGAGACGGACCAGTGCTCCAGTGGATTCCTCCCTTCTGACCCCCGTTGTCTTCGAGTGCCAGGCTTTAGGGCTCAGGAGTTGTGGGCTGCGTCTCAATCTCCACATTCTTGTTAGAATACAGGGTTGGGGGAGATCGCCTGAGAGAGGGCGATAGGGAGGTTGGGGATCGGTCCCTAGCATTGAGGTTAGCTGACAGCGGGAGTGTTAGATTGTCTGGGATCCTTTGCTAAGCCATGTTGGACTGCAAGTGCTACCTCTCATGCACAGGACCACTGGAGAGTTACCCTTGCCTCTGTGGCAGGTCGGTTTCCCATCACTGGAGTACAACCTGCCTTCGTGGAAATCGCATTCTTCCTAGTGGAATGTTTTTAATACGAGGTTTAATTTCCTTACGGCCCTAGAAATCGGTTATTGTAAATGATAGAGTCCCGACTTGATCTAACTTGTAAACTGTTTATTTTATAGTGTTGCTTGTAAACACTGTGGCCCATGTAGCAGTGCCGTTGTCCCTTGGGGACTAAACTCAGAATGCAGGGGTTTGTACAGGGTAGGCAAGCACTCTGCGGCTGAGCTACACTACATCCCTCACCTCAGGGCTGTTTACGTTTGTTAGTAAACAGAGAGCTCGTTAACAGCTGATAGTTTAGGTAGAAGTGGTATCTCTGGGAGTCTACTGATGCGTGTGTACCTGTTACCTATCTTACAGGTCCGTGTATGTCAAGTACATAGAGCAAGTCCTGTCACAAAGAAAGGGCTACATATTATTAATAGTTTAATCTGGGTTTCAGGCTTTACCTCTTTCACCAACCTAGTTAAGATTTCTGAAACAAAGGCAGATTTTTCCAGTATGGGTTTTCAGGTTTGTTGTCCTTGTTGTTTTGAGACAGAGTCTTACTATGTAACTCTGGTGAGCCTGGAACTCGCTATGTAGACCACACTGGCCTTAAATATACACAGATCTGCCTTCTTCCTGGGTGCTCCTGGACACCAAATATGTAGTATGAACCACTCTGCCCTGCTAGTTTTCAGGTCTTTTTACAATCAAGTAAAGTACTTTTTATAAAACCTTTAAAAAATATTTGCTTTATGTATATGAGTGTTTTGTCTACATGTATGTAAGTGCACCCCATGTGTCTTTGGTACCCTGGAGCTGGAATTATGGATGGTTGTCAGCCACCATGTGGGTGCTGAAAACTGAACCCAGGTCCTCTGCAAGAGCAGCAATTGCTCTTAATTCCTGAGCCATCTCTCCAGCTCCAAAGTTTTTAAAAATGTCAGAACAACTGCTGCCTGCATACTTGTGTCAGATCCTTGGAGAAAAAAGTCAGTTCTGAATCTTGACTTACATACAAGGTGGGGGCTGGAGAGATGGCTCAGTAGTTAAGAGCACTGGCTGCTCTTCCAAAGGTCCTGAGTTCAATTCCCAGCAACCACATGGTGGCTCACAACCATCTATAATGAGAGGGTCTGATGCCTCTTCTGGCATGCAGGTGTACAGGCAGATAGAGCACTCATATACATTAAATAAATAAATAAATAAATAAATAAATAAATAAATCTTTTTTTAAAAGTACAAGGTGATTAGACAGGTGGCGGCAGCTGCACATGCCTTTAATCCCAGCACTTGGGAGGCAGACACAGCAGCTGGATCTCTGAGTCTGAGGCCAGCCTGGTGGTCTACTAGGACAGCCAGGGCTACATGGAGAAACACTGTCTCAAAAAACGAAAAGAAAGAAAAAAAAGAGGCACAAGGTGAGTGGATAACAGACTCCTCTCCTGTTATCCACTAATCTGCTGGTCTCCACATTGGGGCTCTTTTGTGGGGAAAGGCAGGTTCAGAGTTCCCTCTGGTGAGACGGTATCTGTTTTCACTGTTACCTTGGAGTCAGATGTGTCTGTAAGCAGAGGTCTGGCCCTACTGGTTTAATTATTAGTGTCTTTCTCCTGCTTGCTCTAGGCAACCTGACAGTAGTCTGCTATTTCAGTGGTCTTTGGTCTGGTCTTGCAGAGTTTTTAGCTGCCTGGACCTCCCAAGGCCTAGTGCCTATGGGGCAAGTACACTACAGGGCACGTACTCTATCTCAGAACTATATCTGTGGTTCTGTTCTGAGCTTTAGTGCCACTTGCTAGAGAAGATGAGCTTTCTCTAGGAAAGATTAGTACTATTCTGCTTCATTTGATTTCTTCTCTCTCTTGTGTTCTCTGTCTCTCTCAATTGCTCTTTCATTTAAAAAAAATTTAAGAGAGAGAGAGAGAGAGAGAGAGAGAGAGAGTATTTATATGTCTGTATGTGATGATCAAGTACCACGTGTATAAAGTGAGGATATGACCACTCCAGGGTGTGGTTGGGAAGAAGATTTTATTGTAGATATGATGGAAAGTACAGCTAGAAGCATCTGGAAGAGTCCAGAGGAGGGAGAGAAAGTAGTACATTGAACACGACCAGCAGAATAAACCAGTCCGTGAGAGGAAGAAGAAAGAGGGGGTCAAGAGAAGAGGGGTCAAGAGAGCGCATGGCTGAATGGTGTGCGTGGGTGGTGGTGGTGGTGGGTGGTGGGGTGTTGTTCTGTAGGATTGAGAAGCTGGAGGAAGGGATGCTGTTTCTCCTGAGCTAAGGGAGTTTAGGGTAGGGGTGGCGTGAGAGGAGCTGGAGGGAGCCACAGGCGCTGAGTGAGGTGGAGGCCAGCAGACACTTTGGTGTGTTAATAGACCCCACAGTTCCTGAGTGTCTTTTGGACTGACACCCATCAGCATGAACATGAGTGGACCAGGGGACTGCTTGCAGGAGTCTGTTTCCTCCTTCCCCATGTAGTTCTGGAGAGTGAACATGTTGTTAGGCTTGGTGACAAGTGCCCTTGCCCACCTACTCACCTTTCAGGCTCCTCTTTTTCTTTTCTTTCTTTTTTTTTCTTTTTCCTTTTTTTTTTCTTCTTGAGATGGTTTCAATGTATCACCCAGGCTTGTCTGAGCTTGTTTTAAAACAAAGAAACATTTTACTTTATTTATTTGTTTGGTTGATTTTGGTTTGTTTGAGACAGAGTCTCAATTTGTAGCTTTGGCTGTCCCTCACAGAGATCTAGCTGGCTCTGCCTCCCAAGTGCTGGGATTCAAAGAGTATGTACCTCTATGCTTGGCCTCCTTTGACTTTTATCTAAGTGTTTGCTTGCCTCCGGTATTCACAGAGGTCCAAAGGTGTTAGATTCCCTGGAATTGGAGTCATAGATGATTGCGGGAACCACCTAACTCTTGTAACTGTCTGCAAGAGCTTACCACTGAGTCATCCATGGTGGTTTGAATGAGAATGGCCCCCATAGGCTCATATATTTGAATGCTTAGTTCTCAACTGGTGAGTGGACTGTTTAGGAAGGATTAGGAGGTGTGGCCTTGTTGGAGGAGGTGTGTCACTGGGGTGGCTTTCGAGGTTTCAAAAACCCATGCCAGGCTCAGTCTTTTCTCTCTGCCAGCTCCCTGTGGATCGGGATATAAGCTCTAAGCTACTGATCTAGTGTCATGCTTGCCAGGCAGATGGATGTCACACTTCCTACCCTGGTGATCATGGACTAAACTTCTGAAACTCTAAGCAAGCCTCCTACTAAGTGCTTTCTTTTAAAAGATGCTGTGGTCTGCTGGATGGTGGTGGCACATGCCTTTAATTCCAGTGCTCGTGAGAGAGAGAGAGGCAGAGGAAGGCAGAGCTCTGTGAGTTTGAGGTCAGCCTGGTTTACAGAGAAAGTTCCAGAAGAACCAGGGCTACATAGAGAGACCCTGTCTTCAAAAACCAAAGACAGACAAAAAAGTCTGCGTGGTGTCTTTTCATAGCAATAGATGATAACTAAGACACCGTCTCTCCAGCCCTGGTCCGAACTCTTGATCCTCTTGGCTTTGCCTCACAAACGTGGGGGTTTCTGACATGTGCTTCCATTTCTGGACTTTTTAGTTTATTTAGTGAATGCATGCTGTTGTGTGTATTGGTATATGCATGTGTTTTCGTGAGTGTATGCATGTGGAGGACAATGGGTGTCTTCTTCAATCCCCCTCCCCACAACCAGAGCTCTGGCCGCTATAAAAATGAACACCAGATAGCTCCAGTCCTGAGTCAGGGTCTCTCCCTGAACCTCGAGCTCCTTCAGCTAGATTGGGAGTGGGTTCCAGGAATCTTATTCTTGGGCCCCCACCTTCCCACCCCAGCATGGGGGTTACAGGTGCGCATCTCTACCTGATGGCACTTTACAGATTGAGCCGTCTCTCCAGCCCCCTTCTTTTTCTTTTTTAAGGTGGAAAACAGATTGTAGGGGGCAGAGGACCTCTCCAGGTGAGCTCCAGTCACAGCCTCATGACCTTGTTAGATTTTCAGCCTGGGTTGGCTTGATGTTCACCTGTCTCTCTGTCAGAAGGACTATATGGAGCTTGTGTGGGAGGAGGCAGAGTAACTGTGGACAAAACCAAGAGACCGCATATGGCTCGGTACTGGTGCAGTCGGCAGTGTGTGACTTCAGGGAAGCAGACCTGCTCTTACTGTGTGAGCAAGGCGAGTTCTGAGTTTAACGTAGAAGTGAGACCAAGAGAACCCAATTGTATCCGATAGTAAGTTTTTAGAGAGCATAGGAGAGAGAGCAGTGGCTATTACAGACGTTTACAGTCTGCGGGGGAGGGGGGCAGGGGAGACAGATGTTACACACATAGCTACCTGTGAATGATAAAAGCCCATGATGCAGTGTGGGAAAGGGCGGGATGCTGTGGGGAAGGGCAGGATGCTGTGGGGAAGGGCAGGATGCTGTG